AGCACTGAAAGCTGCTGGAAGTGGCATGCCCTGCCGTTCTGATTACTGTCAGGGCTCTGCTCAGGTATCCATGGAAACTTGAGAAATAGATGTTGAATTTGTTGGATCTGTTTGGCATCAGGGGATGGGACTAGTTGCCAGTCAGCCCAGTCTAATCACAGGTATTCTGATCTTTAATCATGGAGAAGGCATCAAGAGTCCTCAAATGATGGTAAAACTGACCACATGGTCACATTTCCCAAACAATGACAAAAGGAGGGGCGAGGATGCACTGAGAAACTGTTATTTTAATGGTGTTTGTATCTCTTGAGAGAGAAAAATATCCCAATCCCTGTAAGGAGGAAAGAGACGCCCAAATATTCACTCTTCAACCTCACACAGAACAGGGAAAAAAAAGAAAGCATGGATACAAATGCACAGAACCTCACAGGGACAGGTGGACACAGAGTACTCAGGACTGTAAAGCCCTTTGAGAGAAACTGCTTCAACCCTAGAGACTGGTCCTGAATAGCACTGAGAACCAGGGATGAATCCAGAAATGGACAAACTGAAGTTGTGTTCCCAGATCATTCCCTCTGGGGGAAGGAAGCAGCAAAGGGAGAATAATTTATCTCTGCTTCCTTGCCCAAGGAAACTAGTGCAGGTTGGGCAGGCTCCTGCAATAGGAACTGATTTTTTTTCAAAGAGAGAATGGGGATTAACTCCCTCAGATGACATGGAATTGCTATTATTGAACTACATTCACATCCACACTTTTCTGGACTCCAACTGGTAATGATTACTAGAAATCTCCCTCAATATTCCTCAGAAACTGCATCTGCAGAGCACAGCCTGAGAGTGCTGAGTTAAAAGCTAAAAGCAAAATCCTCTCCAGGTCTCCCATTCCTGCAGATGTAGGTACCCTTGGAACTGATCCATGTGCTCAGAGCCTGCAAATCTGTAACACCAGAGCTGCAGATGTGGGCCAGGGAGCACCCAGTGACTCACAGGGGAGGGGAGAGCAGTGAGCCAGGGCAGGGGAGCACCAGCCCAGCTCCCAAAGCCCCTCTGCTGCCCTTGACACACCCTCAGGCACTCCTGGGTGAAGAACAAAGCATTCTAGGCTTTCTGGCCACCATATTCTGAGGAGTTTTGTTTATTTATTTGCTTACTTCTTAGAAATGACTGCATTTCCCTCCTCATTTACATGAAAACGTTTCTCAAATCCCTCTGAGACGGCCTTTGAAGGAATTTCCTGTTTTAATACTGATTACTGACACAGATCACCACTGCCATGCTAATTTTAAAACACTGCAAAGTCGCTGTTTTAATAGCAGTTCTAGCAAAATTTTAAACTTGATTTTGTTTATTTTAAATGCATATCACTATGATTCTTAACAGCACAGCACACGGGCCAGAGCTGACACATTTTGGATAATGAGCGCTAAGGAATATATATCAATAAATATCAAAAATGTGCCTGGTCACTGAGAAAAGGCAGACTGGATGTAGTGACCCAGGAGCCAGGACACTTGTCACAGCGAGGGAGAGGAAGCCTGCGGATGTCACAGGCATTTCAGATCACCGAGGCTCAGCCTTGGCAGCAGCATCCCCTCAGTGCAACACCAACATCTGTGACCTTACAGCACCAAACAGCTGCACACTCTGCAGTGGAACATCTGAGAAGCAAGTGTACCATTTACTGCCACGGCCCGTGGAGCTCAGAGCTCATCCCTGAAACAGACTCCAAGCCCTCCTGGCACCTCTCTCACCACTGCAGAAACACCAACCTGAACCAACCTGGAGCTTCACCCATCCTCCTTTCCAACCAGCCAGGCTGTTTAATAGAAACGTGACAAGTGCCACACAAGAGCTGAGTAATTGTGTAAGAAGTCATCTATGGATGGACAAAGATCTCACTAAAGCTGCATAAAGAAAATATCAACAGCTAGTTCACCTAAGGAAAACAGCAAAAAAAAAGGAACAGATGCAAACTCCCCAAAAAGGTCATGCTGCTTCAAACCAAATTAAGGTCATGACTGTTCTCATCCTCCTAATTGAAAGTAGCATTGTTTACGTGCATTGTTTTTATTCCCTTCACGTTTTCCATTATCATTTACTGGGAGCCAGCACAGCTTTTTTAAAATCCAAAAAGGCAATTTGCTTCTTCACAATACCTACAGACTAAAACAGCCACAGGGAGAAGTTTCTGAAACCATAACTGGTGTGCTCTTTGAAGTCAAATACTTGTGAAATCCCATCTGACACATCGTCAAAAGGCAGAACCAATTCAGGTACAGAAAACTGACACAATGGGATCTTTAAATATTATTGTTTTAAAGTTAAAAGTATATTCTTGAGATTTTTTTTTAAGAAAGGGATGGTTGCTTTGTGAATTTATAGAGAGAACAGGTGAAATCATAATAGAGGGGAGAAAAAATTAATTAATCCCTTGGAACAGCTTAGAAGAATAAGTAACTGGAAATTTTAAAATATTTGACCAGATCTGTAACTTTAAAAGGAAAAAAGAAAAGAAATCCAGACTTAATTGCAACAGCAGATAGGATGTCCAGAAGGGGCCTAAAAAATTTCAACAGCATTGCCATGAAAGTGGGAAAAGTTGTCCATGGCAGGTCACATCAACTCAACCAACAAAAGAAGCATTGGCAGAAAAAAAGCACAAGTCAAGTCCCATATAACCCAAAGCAGCAGTGACACAGTTAGAAAACAAAACATGGCCTAGACCCTGACATGTTCATGAAGGGATCAGGTCTTTCATAGCAGAGGCAGCATTCTGGCCTCGCTGCACAGACCTGCCCTCCCAGAGGCTGCTCTAACTTGAGCTGACATCCAAGGCTGCAGCATCCTCTTCCAGCTCCTGGTGACAGTGGCATTCGTCAGAAACCCTGGTCACTCCCTGTGGACAAGGATAAAGCCCCTTTACCCAGAAATGCACCAGCTGAAAATGCCTCTGGACAGATCAGACCTCTTGGGGCCTCTCTACAGCTGCCTGAAGCTTTGGGGAGACTTTGCAGGGACAGAGCAGGGCAGATCTGTTGAGCACCAAGTGCTGTCCCCATGGGAGTGAACCAAACACTCAGACCCTGTAAGAAAGCTTACAGGGTGCCTGTCATGAAGGAAAACTTGTCAGCTCAACCAGCATTACCCAATTACCAGCCAAAGGCTTGAAAAATGCCAAAAATCAGTATAATTAGAAGCTTTACATGCAGTAGCTCCTGGGTATGAACAGTTTCACTAGGCAAGCTGCAGATACCGCAGTGCTGTGCTAAGTGGAGCTATAAAGATGATGGGCAGGCACTGCATACAGCACTCAGCTATTTTACATACAGACATTTCCTTTAAGCGTTGTACTGTGCTGCAAGAAGTGGCTGCAGCTTCAATACTGTCAATACAACACACACTAAATCACACTTTATCCCTCAAGCCTTTTTTTTCCCCTGACAGCCTCCGCATTCCAGCGCATGGAAAGAACATAAAGATTTCTGGCATCACAAATCATTGCTTTACTACCTGGTCTTCTGTCTTCTAACCAAATCCCTCCTGCACAGATTCTCCCTATGTCACAAGTTACTTCATTTCAGTATTGCATTGCACCAACCTTGCAACCCGGCAGAACACAAAACGTGATACCCTGTCATCTGAAAGACAAATGAACCTGTCAGTCTATTCTTCCCTTTGTCAGCTGCATGCTAGAAAATTGTTACAGGTTACTTCAAACCAAACAGACATCAGAGACTTCATTTAGGAAGCATTGAGAGAATATTTAGATGTAGGGAGGCAGAAGAGCCCAGTGGAGCATCTTGAAGATTCGACTAGTTTCTAAGTAGTGTTTGCTGGTTTAGTTTGGGGTTTTTTAATGGACACTTTGTGACTCTATTATTCCACTTACACTGAAATTAAGCTATGTCATTCTAAACGCTCCCCAAATCCTACTATAATCAAACTTAAAAGTTTAAGTTTCCCCATACATTTCTGCCAGGAGCGTTGGCTCAGCACTGCAGTTTCCTCTGCAGATTACAGTGAGGAAGAAGGCATGGAGAGATGGAATGAAATCAGGCTGAGTCTGCATTTCCCTTAGGGCTATTCACCCATATCATTTGTATCCTGGGAACCCTCTTCCCTCCCCCAGCTCCGTTCCCACACAAGGAGAGCCCACCCCGTCCTGCAAAGGCTGTGTTGCTCCTATCGGGCAGGGTAACCCCAAACGGATCAAACCCACAACATCCTTGTTCCAGGCAAAACACGATTCAGCTCAGCTCGAGTCAAGTCCGCAGAATCAGAGCCATGTGGCCCGCTTAACGTGGTAAAACGGCACCGGTGGGGGTTTCCCCACCCCTACACCTCGCCTGGTCCCCGGGGCTGCGCCAGGATGCTCAGGCGCTCAGCCAGACAGCGCCGTCTCTCCCACCCGGCTGCCAGGTCTTTCTTTCCCAGTGCATCAGGGTTCTCGCTATACAGGGGGGCTGCCTCTATGTCAGCAGCAGACCCCGAGCTCCAGTCCGAGCCCTCCTCCCTCTGGCCGCTGCTGGGAAATAGAGAGACCCCGACCCGCGGGGTTACGGAGCCATAAAGGCCCGTCCGGCGGGGATGCCGCGCCCGCCGCAGCGCCCGGCGCCGGCCAGGGCGCCCGCCCCGCCTCGCCTCGCCGCCGCCCGGCCGTGCCGCCGCATTGTTTTGTCACCTGGGTCCCCCCGCGGTGCGGCACCGGCTCCCCGGGCACCGCACGTGGAGGAGCGGCGGCGCTGCCCGGCTCCGGGCGGGGGTTCCGCACCGAGCCGCCGCCTCCCTCAGGCGGCCCTGCCCGCGGGGCATCCCCCGAGCCGGGCACCGCCGGCCCGGCCCGGCCCTGCCCTGCCCCGCCCGCGCGGCCACAGCCGGGACATTGTCTGCCACCTCCCGCCTCCCCTGCTCCGGACGGGGCTCCCTTCTCCTCCACACCGCTTCCCCCGTGAGCCGGGGAGAAGCCGGCAGCGCTCCTGCATTGCGGCGGGGCCCCTCACCTGCGGCACCGCTCTCCGCCTCCGACATGGCCCGCTCCCGCCGCGCTCGCCGGGGCACGGGCCGGCGGCGGAGCTGCGCTGCCCACCCCGGGGGAGGCTCCGCCGCTCGTGTAGTCCCCGCCCTGCTGCGCCTTCCTGCGGCCGGTGCGGAGCCGAGGGGGAGCGGCTGCGCGGCCGGGCCGGCGCTGACGGCTTCCCGCGCCGGCTGCGGGGCTGCGCCGCCCCTCCCCGCCCGCTCCGCAGCCGCACAAGGACGGCACCGGCAGGGGGGCCGCCTGTGAGGGCCGGCCGGCCCCAGATGCGGATTTCACGGCCAGCGAAGCGGAAAGCCCTCCGCGGTGACGGCCGCAGAAAGAGACCCCTGTCTGTGGCCGGGGGTGACAGCCCGGCTCGGTGCCGGGAATGGGTGCTGGGGTCCTGCAGGGATGGAGCGTGAGGAGGCTGCGGAGGTTACCCTAGCTGTTCCCCCGATCGTCAGGGGTGTGGGTGCAGCTAACCCGGACGGGCAGAAATCATGGACGGGTCCCCTGATATCATGTATTACGGGGTGGCTTATACGGCATGGGAATTCTTTATATTTGTCTTCAGAGTGAGCTCTCCCACATGGTTCTGCAGTGCTGTCAGGCCAAGAACTTCTTGTTTCCAGTGATTTTTAGGTACTTGTCTCCAGGACCTGGGAGAGAGACACCCCTACTGTCACTCGATCCAGGATGAAGTTTAAGAGTTATCCAAACTAAGTAACAAACCATTGCAAACACAAGAGAAGAAAAATAAGGCTGGTAACCTCCCACGAGCGATCCTCAAGCCGGAAAAGGTTTTTCCTCTTGTCCACCCGTGCTTCTTGGTGTAATTCTCCTTTACTTTCCAGCCTCAGCAGCCATTCATCTTTTGAAAGCAGTGCTAGTATTTCACGTGAAATAAACAAGGGCATTCACTGCAAGCACAGCCTCGGTCCTTGCTGACTCCTGGGCTCAGGAGCTCACTGATATCCAGGACAGTGTAAAATCCACCCAAAATTCTCCCAAGTCCCCTCACCAAAGCTTTTGCTCACACAAGGTGGGATCCCAGTGAAGCCCTTGAGGACCATGGAATTTTGAAGCAAAGCCCCAGCTCTGCAGGTGCCTCTCAGCACCTCCCTCTATTTTTCTCTGGTTTCTTGCTCTAATGGCATTTGCTGTGCTCCCTGTGAGCTTTATTGCCTCTGAGGACTGAAGGTGTGGCACAGAAGTTAAAGCTGTAAATATCTTCACATCTGCATACCTGAGTCATCTCAAAAGCCTTGACCCACCCTGCACACACTTAAAAGACTGTCTCAGCCTGAAATCCCATTGTCTCATCCGGGGAAAATGCAGAACTCATTTCTCCCGCCTCCCAAAATCAGCTGCACAGAAGGGATTTTCTAAATGCTGGGACAAGGGGACAGCAGCTCATTCCTCTGCTCACATGGGAGAAACCTTCTGTCCTTGGGGACACTCAGGAACTCCCACAATTTCCGAAGGCAAGGACAGCGAGCAGTGGGACAGGGGCGCTGGAATTGCAGCTTCCTGCTCTTCCCTCAGCTCCACAAAGCCAGGCAACAAAGGGGAACATCTGGCCAAGAGTCAGCTTTAATTACCTATTCAGAGTCAGGCTGAATATTTATGCTGTCATTAAACAGCCTCGGAAATAAGAAACCAAACAACTCTAATACTTGGTTTCCTGACAAGAGACTTAAATAGCAGAAACTTTTGCTTCAGATTAAATGCACTTCAATAGCAATTAATGGTAGGCTTTAAACAAGTATTGAGGTAATTAACAAAGGCAGAGGAAAAGAAAAGAAGCAACCAAGAAGCTTGTAAACACACACCCAAATAATATACTTTCTGGGAAATAAAACGTAGTACTCAGGCTAGTTTTTTGTGATCCCCCAAGCAACAAGACAACACACAAAAATAGCATTTACTGGGTACAGACATCTGAGTGCCACGGCAGTGACTACATTATTCAATATCAAGCCAGGTTGCCTAAGTTACACACTCAGCTGTAGGTGTTCTGAATAATGCAGAAGGAGAATATTTGAAGGCATGTGACTGACTGCTAGTTTCAGAAATTAGACCCTTTCCCAGAGAGCTTAGTATGTCCTTTTAAGACCTAATGAGAGGAACCACATTAAAAAAAAAAAAAAAAAAAAAAAGCATTTGAAGTAAAATTAGATTCTCAATCTGAAATATTAAATTAAGAACTAAAGCCTCTTTAATTTTGTTTTATAAAGGCAAAAAATCATAGAAAAATAAATTATAGAACAATAAAATACTGGAGTTTTTTTCTCTTGTTATCTCTCTCTCCTGGAAATGAAAGAAAAAGTACAAAGTACATTTCATGTGAAAGAAAAACACTTTCTGAAAAGGTCACTGTCTCAAGTGAGCCTGCCCTGGGGCTTCATTTTTATTATTTACTCCATAGGAAGTTTGTCATTCTTATGGTTCTTTTGCAAGGTTGTTTGGAATCTGTGATTTTAAAAGTTATCATATAAGCACCACAGAAAATGAGTCAAAATATAGTGATCAAAATGTAAAAATGGATGGTCAAATATTGAAAAGGAGCCACAAGTAGTCATCTACATGCTCTGAACACCTGTACTTACAGATTAACTTGTCCCTTGCCCAAGAGTCAGTGTTGGTGTGGGTCTGGAAAGAGCTCCTTTCCTTCTCAGGAAGCTGACATCAGCTGGCTTAGTGTACTGCAGAGGAGGAGCAGCAGAAAGGAAGAACCTTTTTTTGACCCTGAAACATCAAAGTGGTTTTGTGTCAGACAGCCAAGGCACCCACCAGTGTTCAACTCAAGCACCAGCTCAGTTGTTGTGGTGCCACTCTGACCATGGAGAAAAGCAAGATTTCTGCAGGAGCTTGGGGCAGTGTCTGCTGGTAATTTCCCCTTGTATCTATTGGGAATGAACACCTCTGAGGAGCAATCAAGCCGTGATTTAGTACACTGTACTTGTTGTCTGCAGCCTGGGTGATCCCCAGAAAGCTGCAGCCTCAATCTGTTCCATTCACCACACAAAGGGCTCAGATACACTGGCGTAAACTGACAGTACAAAGCAAACAGCTTCTTAACCTAGCCCTGATTTTAGCAGAGCTACCACATGCATGTTATCCATTAGCATCAATAAAAATTTCATGAGGGAATTGGAGATCAGCACAGTGTCCTCTCAGAGCCATTCCCACACGTGGCAAGAGCTGCACAAAACTGTGTCTGGTCAGTGAAAAGAGCTATGTGCTTCTCACTCCTGAGTACCAGAGTCTAAGTGATGGGGTAGCACTGAGAATCAGTGTGCCTGAACCAGGCACAGAGATCTGGAAGAAATAGAGTTATTTAAACATTGTTTGCAATGCACCTGGCAACAAGATGTCCAGACATTATCACAGACACAGAAACCAGTGAGCCACTGAAGCCCAACACCCAGTTCAGTCCTGGCACCAGGGAGAGTTGAATCTTTAAATAAACTACATCACATTTAAAACAAAAGAATAGAAGGCAGGTGAGCTCGCCTTGCATCTTGGCAGCTCAGGAACCCCTCATCAAGCACTGTGTTCATCTGCTCAATTAAAATTCCTAGAGTAATGGTTTCTGACTTCAAAATTTCCTCTTATGTAGTTTCTGGAGCATCACTAAACATACAATACCTGGTTTTTATTTATCACCTGTGTAACTGTTACTGCAGTCTCCTCCTTCATTCCAGCTGTTCAATTTTTCACCTTTACAGCACTTTAACCTCTCCAGTTCTGCTTATTCCTGGAATAAAAACTTAGAAATTATTTTTATTACAGAGCCAACTGGCAATCTGTTTCCCTAGATGCAATTTTATCTTCCCCCTCCCTAAAACCAGCCTTTTATTTTCATACTCAAGAAATCTCTATAAAGATGAAAAGAACAAAAAACTCTTCATCACTGTCACAGCCTTTCAATAAAGAAGCTTATTGTGCACTGAGGAACATGAAGGGTTTCTTCAAAAGGAGCAGGTTACATAATTTTCACCTGTCTTTTATACATTTCTCTTTTCCAATGTCCCAATATCTGTTGGAAGTGTATCACTGCCTGCAAAGAGTTCTCCTGCATTTCTCAGCAGGATGGTTTTCCAGGAAAACTGCTGGCCTGGAGACACTGAAGTGTGTTGTGCTCACAGATCTCTGGCTCACTTACTTATCTCGAGAGTACTTTCAAGTGTGACAGTTCTCACACTGTCTGGGTGTGAGCAGCACTCCAAAATATAAATGTTCTATAGTCTGCTCGTGCACCCAGTGGTCTGTGGTAGGTGCTGTGTGCACAGAACTAAAAGGTAAGTTCAGTCCAAAAAATCTCCACTCATGCTGTATGTCCTGAACACCATTTTTTCCTTAAATTCATTGCTCTTCCTCTATCGTGGATGTATTAAAGCCAAATTTTAAAAAAAACCAACCAACCAACCAAACAAACAAAAAAAACCCCACCAACCATCAAACCCACACAAACCTCAAACAAACAAACAAAATCCCAGCAGAAACAGATTTATTATATAACAACGTTGTCACCCCATCATTACTCTCCAAACAAGCACCCAACCATATACAGTAAAAAATGCTGTTCTGTCAAGGCATTTTTAAAATATCAGCCAGATTGTGCATCCATATTGGCTTGCTTCACGACTCATTTCTCATCACTTTAAAAGAAGCAAAGCTCTAAATGCATCAAACAATTAATTTAGTTTTGTGACATGGCTCTTTTGAACATGTACACTGCTCAAGTAAGTGATGAGCATGTTGGCTCCCACTGAAATCAATAAAAGTGGCAGATGGCTCAGCCACCTCTAAAACCAAGGAACTACAGAAAATTCTGCAAAATCATCTGCCTACTTTATGTCTTATTTCTCTGTCCCAGAGACAGTTGTACTCCTCAGGAGGCAGGTTTAGGTATTGTTCACACCCTTGCTGTGCAGACTGCTTCACTGAATTATACAGCATTAGAAAATTGCAGGGTTACTTCTGAAATAACAGATATATTCTGAAATAACTCTTCTGAGTTAAGAGTTCTGTCTCTTAAAATATCCTGCAGCAGCTCAAGAATATAAAATTTGCCAAT